TTTGAGCATTACTTTTTCTTTTCCTCGTGGCTCGCTTCGACTGCCTCACAAACCGACACAACTGCTCAAAATTGTCTTCCCAAAAATTCTTTCCGAGATATAGGTCGATTTGAATTTGCCAGATCAGTGGGGTTACAGAATAAAAAGCTCGGTTGAGAAACCCGGTTTTGGCGGGAAACTACAGTACTTAGGGGGCGGGATTAGTATGTGAAGTTGGAGAGGTGCCAGTGGGTAGTGGAGCAAGAGACCAACGGGGCGAGGGTTTTCGCCAATGTGGTTTAGTTGTGCGTCGTTGTCCGTTTGTTGTTCACATCATACGAATCGCTTGAAGTACACTTGCTGTCGATTTGGACGTTTCGCGTTTGTGCGATGCTACTTGGTGATGGCTGCTGCAGCAGCAGTTTGCAGTGTGAGTGCTGTTTCTCGGATGTGCCGCGTATTTTTACTTCACTTAGCACCGTTTTCGCTACCATCCCCATCATCCCGCTCCTTTGTGTTTTTTTGCCACAGTAATTTAAGTACCGAATTACCAGGTCTAACACTTGGTTCGTAGAATCTTTTCAGGTATCGCTTCTTGATTCCCGTGAAGTCAATTACAACGAGTGGAGAGAAACCGTTAGTACCCGCCCAAGTCACGACATTTGGTGTGTGTTCAGTATGTTAGACCAGGAAACACATTGAGGATGATTGTGTTTGCAGTTTTTTCGAGTTTCAATCGACTTAGCCTGTGTTGATATTATCGGGGGTCCGTTTTAATAGAGGAGTCAAACATCATTTTTCTTGCGTATGCGTTTTCTGGTTCTGTATTCATTTATTGCCATCTCGCATGTTGATTTGTAGGTTTAGATAATTTTCATAGTTCTTTTATAATTGAGGTAAGTTGAGGGGTTCTTTTGGCGAAGGGTCATCATTCGTGTTCTTTAATTTCATGGGTTTTCTTTTTTTGCTGTTTGGGTATTTTTTTGCTTTCTTGGAATTATGCCAGTGTCCCGTATATTCATTTAGTGCTGTCGTGTTGCTTTCTATTGATTGTTCTGTTTGAAGGAGGCCCTGAAGCGCTTTTCCTCGGTTCTTTGTCGTATTCGATCTCTTTTTGTTTTTGCATTAGCTGTTTTTGGATGGTTTTATTTGCAGGTTTACGTTTGTTTTATTTTAATCACAGTTGCGAACATGAGCGCGGTTGAAGAACGTGTAGCCGAAAAGAGGCATCTCGATGACAAGGATGTGGAGAATGGTGTTGCCGCAAAAGAAGCCAAATTAGAGAATGGTTCGGCAGTAAGTACTTGATGTTCTGACTACTTATAGCTTGAAATTGAATAACGGTAGACGGGAAATTATCTTTTCAAAGAGTTATCATCTGTAGTAAGTGAGTTACTTGGTTTGTTCACAACATCAAAGATTGTGTGTCCTGCCACTGTTAAAACAGATGTGGGCGGGTCTATGTGGATTTTGTGGTTTAAGGCCGGCTTCAACTAACACTTGAGTGGTTTGATTTTTAGGTGCATGCCGAAAAGGATAGTACCAAAATCAGTTCCCTGAAGGGTAAGTTGACTTTTCTTTTTTGCTTTTTCAAGTAATGCGCACAAAACCTTTTGATTTATCAATATTTAGAAAAGAAGGTCGAGGAGAATAAGAAAGACGAGGAAAATGGAGAGGACGCTGAAGGCGAAGACGGCAATGAGGAGTCAAGCGGAGATGAAGGTGACAGTGTTGGAGATGAGGAGGAGGGAGGCAGTGAAGACGAAGAAGCCAGTGTCGGATCTGAGGAAGGTAGTACGGATGCTGAGGGGGGTGACCCAGAGGAAGATGACGGTGAAGACGGTGAAGGTGAGGAAGGTGAAAGCGAGGAGTAGACGATTGAGATGTCGTCTTTTTGTTAAACATTTGGTTCTAAGGGATAGCCACTACCGGGTTAACAAAAAGAGAAATTTGATTATTATTTTTTGATCTCAAACTCCTCGTTTTTTTTATTTCTTCGTTCCTAGTACACAGTGTTCATCACGCAGATTTGGTGTTAAAAATTTCCTCAGTACTTCGGATGTATTATTTACTGTTTTCTATTTTCTTGTCATCCGATTGTTGTTATGTTGATATTTTTGCCTTTTTGTTTTTATCCCGAAGTTATGATTGTGTACTTTTAAGTAAGCCCTTGATGTTGCAAAGTGTTTTTACTTTTGAACTGTGTTACCTAAGTTGTTACATGAACTTCGACAAAAGGAATTACCGTACTTTGTCATCTTGTTTAATTATTATAATTTTTGTACATGAGGTTGTGTCGTATTGCGGTAGCACTTCTTTTCGTTATGTGCAGTTTCCTCTGCAAATGACTCCCAGGGTTCTAATCTTGATATAAAGTTTCCTGCAGCATTGGACAATAGTCAGAGTTCTGTTTTTTGCCTAGTGGTATTTAACGTTCATCAGTTGCAGTTTAAATTTCATTCCCTGGTACTCGTTCGCATTTTATTGTGGTCGAAATGTATTTTTGTGGGCTCGGATGTTTTTGAACCGTCTTGTTATCCGAAAGGGGCTTAGGAATGCAACTTTTAACTTTTGAGGAAGGACTCCTTGTGATTCTCGTTTTGTACTTGCAGGTCGTTAATCAAGATTTTGTGGGTTGGCTTTTCTTATGGTTACTTTTCTCACCATTTGGGGTTAAAAAGTTTCGTAAAATAAGCGGAAGTAGCAAGAGGTGTCGTAGCTAACAGTAATATTCGAGGATGTGGTTCTTTGTTTTGTTGCTCTTTCGAGCCAAGGCTATTGCGAGTTTGATGGTGGTTGTTGTTGCTCTTTTTAGAGTGTCAAAGGGGGTTTTGCCCGACAGGGTCGGCAGGTAATTCGTTGATGTGGGTGGTTGACAGAATGTTGGATAAAGGCAGCGCTTAATGTTCAGATATTGTAGAAGTTTTGGCAATTTTGCGGGGTTATGGAGTAGTACGTAACAATCCTGCTAGAATGTTATTTGTTCGCCAATGAGGAGGGTTGGACCTGCGACGTTTTGTCGACTGGTCGGGGTAGTTGAATGAACTAACAGTTTTGATTGACAGAACATGTTGGTTTGGTTAACCTGCAGCTGTTGTTTTATAGAGGGAGTGGTTTTGGTGTGTATAATAATTTTTTGGGACAGTGGTTTGGGCTACAGTTAACTAGTCAGTTTTGCTCGTTGATCCTTACGTTCTGTTTTCCGATGTAATCTCGCGGTGGCTGCGGGTCGAACGCTGTAGTTCTTTGATGTGGGTTTTTAAAACTTGGACTTGTTCTTGTTCTTTAGGGTTCGGGATTGTGTTGGTGGCATCTTTGGGGGATTTTTTCCCTGCCTTCAGTCCACTTTTTTTTTGCCTGGATGACATAAAAACTTCTGTTCGTTTCGACAGAGACCATTTTCTTTACAGCCTCGGTGGAAGTTTAGCACTTGCATCAGAACACGAAAGTAATTATTGTTGTACAGATCTATTAGAGGTCATGTTTAGTGTGAGTTCCTGAGCCATCATAGAAGTACAAGTAATGATTGAAGTATTGACAAATTTTCAAGCACTGAGTTTTAAGATTGCTGTGCTTTGTCAAGGCAGATAGTTAGTTTCAAAAGGTTGCATTGGTTAGGACCAGTCAAACTGTCTGCGACTTGTTTATCTTCAAACCGTTTTTAGAATGTGTAATTTTGGTGTTGCTTGGAGGCTATCATTGGCATAACAATTTCAACAAACCCGGTTTTAGCTACCTTAAAAGCGGTCAGATTTATGCTAAGAAAGACTTTAAAAGTTCATAAGCCGAAATTGTTGCGTATCATGAAAATAATTTACATTTTCTGATGGTAAGCCGCACATTACGAATACAGGATGCAATGCCAACTGTTTCACAGGTTGGTATGCTGACCTTGCTACAATGTGTACATTATTTATTTGTTTCACAGCGGCACGGACGGTTTTTTGTGCATCTTCCAGTTTTTTATGCTGTTGTCATCTCTCCTCACCACTCCAGACATGATAATTAGGCACTGCTGGGAAGCCAAAAATGACACTGTTTTCATCAGTATTATATTTGGCCTTCTAAATAATCTTTTAAAGAAATGGAATGAAACAGAAGCTGGCATGGAGGAGAGCTTAGTCCTCTATTCATTTTTTATTTTTGCTTTTTTGACCGAATAAAAGCAATAATAACATATCACCTATTGAATTACCAAGATATTTTTCATAAGGTGAATTCAATACCGTGAAGGAATGAAGTAGACGGCTGGAAACGGTGGAAGGGAATGGGCAAACAGTACCAAAAGTAAGCTCTATTGCTCACTATGGTCAGTCAGTGTTGCTTTTGCGCTGTCAGAAGCAAGTGTGACTAAGAACAGTATTTTTCGTAATCGGTCGAGCGGCAAAAAAATGTGCCATAATTGGTCATTTAGTGTCATAATACTTTTACTGTGGTGATATTAGCACGTAGATGAAAAAAAGAAGATCCAGTATAAGAATTAAAGCACCACGCTTGCTAAGTTACTTGACGTTTCCTCATCTCGGTCGCTTTGCCTAAAAGTTGGAGTCCTGTAGTAAATATGCGTATTTTTGGTTCCATTCATTTTTCCCTTTCTTCAACCGTTTTTTTACACATCATGTTCACTGTGAAAGAGAACCAGCTATTTTCCTGGATTTTTGTTGTTAATTTTTGATTTTCACTTTCTGGTCACTATGTTCGATGTTTATACTTCAAATTTTGGTGTAAATTTTGAAGTTTTTGAAAATTCATGAAGGGTATGAGCTTGCAAAATAAGAAGACTTGGGAGAAACCGCTCTTCCTGTGATATTTCTGAACATTTTGCCACCATAACGTTTGCTTGAAACCCTGAACTTTTACACTACACAGTCGTTTTTTAATCGCACAGAGGCTAGAGACTTGAGCGTTTCGTAATTATCGCTTCATCCTGAAGATATATGGAAAGGAATAGGGAGGGACTTTTACAGTTTACCAGTCAGAAGTTTCTACGGACCAGGCATTTCTTTGAAGATATGAAAGTTCTTAAATTGCAGGAAGGTGCTTTCAGTGTGGTTATTACTTGATTCTCCACGTTCATTCCGTTCTGCTTGTCCCCTATTTTTGGGATTTGCGGGTCTTTGGTCCCAGCTTTGTGTGTTCTTAAGATAGATTTAAAAAAGTTGTACAACTGTTAAGGATCATTTAAATTGAAAATTAGCTTCTTTTTAGCAAAATGAAAGCGAAGAAGAGTTGGGAATTTCACTCATAGCTTCATTTTACGTGTTCAAGAGAGTTTTTTCAGTGTAGCTGTTCTGTCTTAGGTAGTCATGCTGTTTTGTACTCCAGGCATTTTGAAACTTTTTAGAATGGTGTTACTATCGTGCCTTGTGGTGCCTTGAAACTTTTAAAGGCCGAAATGAATAGGAAGTGGATAGTTACTTTGTCGTAGGCCTTTGCAGTACGATACATTAAAGGCTGACTGTTTCTTGTGTTGTCCATCAGCTTCTTAGTGAATCTTTAAAAGATGATGGTTATTTAAATTTCGGAGTACGATAATAAGAATTACTTCTTTTGCTCGTGTAGCTAACACGTTTATTTCCAGAACAGTTTCCCCCTTTGAAAACAGCAAAGTAAGAAAAATGTTTTCCGAAGTACAAATTTTGCAGTTCATTCCAAGTGATATTTGGCTGTTTCGTAGATTCTTGACATTAGCATGTGAATGGAAGCTTATGCAATTGTCATAGTCTGGATTGTTTCTATGAAGAAGAAAAGAGCATTTGCAGAATTCATGTACTTTTGTAGGGACTAGTTATGTCGGGAAAGCCATATAGGATATGAACTGCAGAACGGTTCTAGGAAATTTGTGCTTTTCATTTTTAACTTATTTTTATTATATTTTCTGTTTAGAAAACGAATAAGTGAGCTGAAAACAGGGTTTTTCCTCCTACACGTGTTACATTTATTCTGCCACAATCAATAGTATAGCGTGCTGTCTCTGTCCCTCTGTTTGCACTAACTACCAGTGCAACCATCACCATCTTCACCAGCAACACGACCACCATCAGCGAGCACAGTGAATACCCCTTTATCGCAGCAATGTAGCGTACACACACTAACGCACACACGATTGATTGTCTTTGGCCGCATGCTGAAACTCTTAACATTTACCGCCGCGCTGCTTGCAGTCCTGCGGTGCTGTTTGTCTATTCCCCATCATTTGCGCTGCGGAGAAATAAATACAGCTTTTTTGCATCGGTACCAGTGATAACCATTTGGCCGAAAAGGTTAACCAAGCAAGTTTGGTTGAATTTGCAAAAAATGATTTTTATTAGGATCAGCTTTTTGTTATGTAGCTATCTGAAATAACTTTAAACATGAGTTTCAAATGTAAGGTTTAAGAGCATTCAAACCGTTCACTGACGACGGGTATAAAGCATTTAGTTAGTAGCCTTCAGTTGATACTTCCTTGAGGTCTGAAGCTCTTAAATAAACTTACTACTTCCTTTTTGAAGAATACAGAAGAAATGAGTTCAAAGGATGGTTTTAATCAAGTAGTAAAAAATGAAAGTTTGGATTAACACACACTCATTTTCTGTGACCCGTAAGCAACAAATTCTTCGCTGTAACACTTGGTGGTGTAAATTTTAGCATCTCTCGGCGTCGTATTCAACACCGATTTTTTAACAGCATTTTAAAGTTGTTGCTGAGTATGTACAAATCATTTGAGATGTTGAACCGATTATTACCAGTGACTAAGGGTAAATAATGATGCACTTGTCGGAACTTCACTGAGTGTATAATGGCAGTGAGAAGCACTAAGGATGCCTCTATTGATGCTGCAATAGGTACCCTCAATAAACCGTATGTCTGATGGCCAAAGCGTAGCAACAGCAAA